CAGGACAAGACAAAACAGCCTCAAACTGAACCAGGGTGGGTTCAGGTTGGACATTAGGAAGGATTTCTTCACTGAAAGTAGTTAAACATTGGAATGGGCTGCTCATGGAAGTGGTGGAGTCTCCATTCCTGGAAGAGTTCAAGAAACAACTGAACATGGCACTCAGTGCTATGGTCTCGTTGATATGGTGGTGTTCAGTCAAAATTTGGACTCAATCTTGAAGGTCTATTCCAACCTTACTGAGTCTGTGATTCTATGGTTCTAAGATAGCACTAATGCCACCCCAGGTGTCCACTTAACTGGAAATTCAAAGGACCCAGGAGCCATCAAATGGTGGAGGACAGGATATGGAGGTTGAGCCTGAACAGCAATAAATTATGTTGTTCTGTTCTCAAAGTATAGGGAGAAAGTTTATTTGGAAGGAGCATCCAAGTAGAGTTTACAAGAGTGTATCTCGTTACTTAATCTTTACAGATTATGTAGAGTAAATGAATATTTATTTACAATTTTAATTAGGACACTTAAAAACTAATTTTTCCATAACTTGGAGACTTAGCTCCTCTTCTCATTTATGTAACAATTTTTCATTATGCTATTGCTTCTACTTCTCCACAGTATTGGCTGCAGCATTAGCAAAGATTTAGCACAGATCTACTGAGATGGGGTAGGGGAGGGGAAGGGAATCTTCTTGTGGGAGGTTCCAGGAAGTTACTGGGCTATGGTGAATTGTGGTTTGCTTTTTTCTTGAATCTTATACAAGGAAAGTACTGAAAAATATTAACAGACAAACCCTTTTTTTTTTTTTTTTTTTGCCGTAGGTTTAATGACAATTAAAAGGAAAGTATATACCTAAGTTTTCATTACTAAAGAAAAATATAAAAAGAAGCACTGCAAAATGAGAGAACTATTTTCCATCCTCTTGTAAAGGACACATACCTTGTGAAGATTAAAAATAAGAACATTAACATCATGACTAATAACAGGAAGCTATTTTTTTCATCTATTAGATTAAAATAAGAACAAGTTTAATATTCATAAGCTAGAAGAAGCAATCTTTCATGCATTAGTTCTAAATAGAAAAAAGCAATTCCAGTATCTTTCAGGCTTTTATCAGTAACTGAATTTGTCATACTTTGTGAAAGATAGGTCACTGCAGACATTTTTAAATCATTTTTAAAGTAGTGGCACACCAACAGGGCATTTAACCCGTTAAGGTGACAGGCAGGATAGATTCAAGTGAAATATGTATTTTTAACTCCTCTTTATAAATTTTTATCAGTAGTGTCAATAGATTTTTGACACATAGTCTTGTTAGTACTTTCCCTGAAAATTTCTTATTATTTAAACAAAAAAAACCCCCCAAAACTCTATCCCACTCCCCCTCAAAAAAAGCCAACAAAAAACCCCAATCAACAACCCTAGAAATACAAACAAAATCACCCCAACATAAAACCCCTTGAACAATCCAGAATTTGAATTACCTGTGCTAAGGAACATAAACATATCTTAGAAGATGATTTCTTAACTCTCAGGTTACAGACCTGTCAGAATCTTTTCCTTCCTCAATACAAGGAAATAGTTCACCACAATGTTGCCATACTGTGTTCTGCATAATGCCATACTCACTGACTATAAAATGAAATGCTCCTAACATCAACATAAGTAAGATTGCACCCATTTCTTCACAATTTAATTGTTATGGTGACACCATGAAGCACTGTAAGTGCTGATTTATATATATATTTTTTAACCAGTATTAAATAAAATGGACTGATAGGAGTTCGACACCCTCTGACTAGATTCTTTTAGAGGTTCCACATTAGGAGGATTTAGAGTTTAATACCAAATTTACTGTATATAATTGTTGTTTTATGGCATTTTGATTTCGTAGAGTATTACTGCAGCACACTGAAATCATACCAGAGGCACGATGTAGCTATTGCAACATGCAGTATTGCAATATGCAATCACCATGCAAACATGCTTCCCATTACCAGTCCCTGAATTCTCATCAGCATGGTGCTGGGTGTGTCAAGTCACCAGAAAGGAGCACAAGGGATGAACCAGGTCAAGCCCATTACTCCCTTCAAAGCTCATTTTAGTAGCTGGCCAGTTTTCAAACTTATCCTTGGGGTGAGCCACACATACACTGCTTCCCCCCATGCTGCTCTGGCTACCTCAGAACAGTAGTCTCCACTAATTATCTCAGCAAAAGCTGTTTATACAGCCTGATGACTCACTGGTACAGTTGTGTGTATCTAAGCTAAAGTTTACTTTTCAGTCCCCCTAAAAAAAAATGCAGCTTTCTTTACAATAATTGGTCATTCTTGACATTCTTCCTCGAGCTCATTATTTTTGCCCTTCTCCTCCAAGTCTTCCTCCATTGTGGGGAGATTGGTCACAGTGAAACAGTATCAGTGTGGTGCAAGTGCAAAGGTTCACAACTGCTGGGCTCCATCTCATATCTCTCTAATTAGTGTATGTATGTGCAGAATGACTTTTTCCTCTCTCTCCCCTCGTATGCTCTATCTTGTTGCTTCCTGAATTTAGCTGAAATTAGGATTTTTAGATACAAATTATTACTACGTTTTTCCTCTTTTAACAACAGTATTCACAAAAAAAAATAATTCATACTTATGGGTCATTGCAGCTGAATAATGCTTAAACATGTCTTTTTTAAAATTCGTATGTGTTCTACATTTTAGTGGCTAACCTCAAAACAAAGTTTTCAGTAGGTTTCTTTAGGAACTGCTTAAGATGAAAACCAAAATGCAAAGGACAAACTGGTGGGAGGTGAACAGGACTTTGTCTGTGTTACAGTGCTTCTTTTGAAGACATGACCAAAATTTTGACATGAGCTCTCCTATCTCAAATTGATTAGTAAGTTAACAGATCACTTTATTCCACTACTGAGTCATACTGTAAATGCCTAGAAAAGATTTACTATAAAATCTGATTCTAAGGATACGCTTAAGTGGTTATGATCACATTTGGACACATACTCACATCTTACCTACAATGTTTTTTTCAAGTCCTCCTTCCCTCTGCCACTGAAATTTTTCAGATACATCAAAAGGACCACTTACCTCTGCATATTTCATCCTGTGCAAGTTCCACACTCAGGATTTCCTGAAATCCAAGAAACATGTTCCAGATTTCAAATGAGAATATACTTGGTTTAAAGTGAGATGTTCCGAGCTAAGGACTTCAAATGACAAAGAATACTGTTTTTTGAATTTTACTTAGGCCATACTCTAGCCCAGCCTTAACACTTGCAGGTTTTACATTAAATTCAATCAGAAACTCAAACAACTGAAACGAACTGAGTCTCCATCCCCAAGATGTAATAATAGAATCACAAGACAACTGAGGTTTGAAGGGCCCTTGGTAGGTCTCTAGTCTGACAGTCTGCTAGTCACAGCCATTTCTACTAAAGGTCGGATGAGCAAAACACAGACAGGTGTTGAAAAACCCCCAGGATGGAGACTGCATAGTCTCTCTAAACAGCCTGCTCCCATGCTTGACTGTCATCACAGCTTTTCCTTTTATCCAGCCTGAAACTCTTGATTTAATTTATGCTGCTATCTTGTCCTCCTGCAGGGCTGTGAAGAATCTAACCCTGTCTCTTTTATAACCTCTCATGGGTACTGGCAGGCTGCTATTAGGCCTCCCCGGAGATGTTGCCTCTCTGGGCTGAAAAAGCCTCCTTACATCAGCTTTCCTCATAGAGCTGCTAGCAGAAAATGGAAACAGGTTCCAGCTCATCCCCTCATTCAGATTAAAGTTTTCAGTCAGGCCACCACCTGTATTTGAGAAAGCTGAACTTCAACTGTAAGAGCTATGAGAGCAACCATGGTGATCCAATATTTGTTTAACTTCACTGAAAATATTGTCAAAAAAGAAGTAGAATTATTGAAGGCAAATAATAATAAGCACATCACTCAACCTGTTGGTCATGTCTTTCTCGATGCAGACCAGGATGCAGTTGGATTTCTGGGCTGCAAGCACACACTGCTGAGTCATACTGAGCTTTTCACCCACTAACACTCCCAAGTCTTTCTCCCCAAGGCTTGCCTCAATACATTCTCCACTCAGCCTGTACTTGTATTTCAGATGTGCTAATAGATGAGCTTGTGCTTTAAGATGAACTTTCCTTTGTAGCAGCCAAAGGAAACTTTTTCAGTTACTCAAACTTTTCTAAAAAATTTTCTTTCCACACTTCATATTATTTTGCATATATATAAATACATCTATTTTCATACATCTATTTAAAATAATTGCTGCTTTTGAATAGTCAGTTTTACTTGCCAGCTCAGTGGGGCTGATTCGATGATTCACCAAAGTCAGGACTGTTTAAAATTTATGGGGTTTATTCTCCTTTTGTCAAGCATTTTCTACATACAGAACATTCACGTGGTATAAATTACAGAACAAAAACTGCATGAGACAGACTACTGCAATTGAGTAACAGACAGTTTACATGATTATTGTTTGATCACAATGGAGAGGAGATATTAAAAAGGAAAATAGATTCAGTAGCTAGAAATGTAAGCAAATTTTTTATCTCAGTTAAAGCTACTTACCAGGAGGTTCGCTCAAGCTAAAGAGAGATCTACTGTACCACACAGGGCAGAATGCTTAATGCACACAAGATTACAATGCTAGAAAATTCCAAATTTCAAAGCAATTTTACACAATCTAAATTGCAGTAAAACTTTGTTTAAAAAAAAGATTTATTTTTTTTCTGATTGCCTTCAGTAAATGGAGGTCAGTTTAAGAGTTTATAAGCATTCTTTAGCAAAAACGTAATAAAAATAAAAATACTCTCAAATTTCTAAGTCATTGCTCTGAGTCTGGATAGATGTTCACTGCTGGCTTTCTACTGACTTGTTATTCTGCTTCTGGGAATCTTATTCTTCCCATTTACATGTTTAACTAGTGTTATATTAGAATACTAAGTAAGCAAACTATAAAAAATACAAAGTTTTTGTTTGTCATTTGTTTTGGGTTTTTTTTTTTTGTTTGGTTGTTTTTTTTTTTGCACTAATCCAGTTGGATGCAAGGACTAGAAAACCTGTTGAGCTAACCAAATGGTTTAACAAATAGGAGTCAATGGTACAATGAATAAGCAAAAATATTATCTACTGGTCGTAGTCTTCAGTTCTTTGCATTCTCATTTTCTTAAAATGCATTTTCTGTATGTTTAATTAACGGTTTCCTCAAGGGTATAAGTGAAGCTTTGTGATGCCAGGTTTTTAGAATGTGGTATATTCTGAAAGGATGTGCAATATTTCTCTTCAGTAGACTTGAAAGTCCTTGCTGATGCCACCCTGTGATATCTGAAAAACCTAACATCTATTATTTTTCTAAAAAAAGGTTAAGCTTCTGCAAGCAGCTTTCTCAACTACGACACCATAAAAATAAACTCCAAAATGCAGTGATCAGAAAACACTGCAAATATTTATTTTTTTTTTCCTGTCCATGTATGTTGCACAACTTGACACCTGGAATTTGATAACAAAACTTTCTTTCCAATGACAAGCAATCCTGTAGCCACAGTGGGAATAAATTTTGTAATTTCTATGTTTGTCTTTCTTGTGAGATTTTCGCTTCAAGGCACAAAAAGATTTAACAGTGGACTGGACAGGATGTAACATTTCAGCTTAAGGAGTCAAAGGTTGTGGTACAACAGCTCTTGTTTCGTGTCTGAAGCAAAACAACACAAAATTTCAATCATATGTTAGTCTTCCATTTACAAATGCAAAGTATCATATTAAATTTCCTGAAGCTTTTTTGGTTGTTTTTGGGGATTTTTTTTTCTTCTTTTTTTACAATAATTTATTATGGTTATCATCAATTTCCCTATTTAGTTATCTCAAACAACACAATTTCATTTGATAATTAATAAGGAATACCATTATCAAATAGCTATCATTTTAGTCACTTTTATGTGGAAGTTGATTCAAATTGTGTACATCAAAGACATAACAGGTATAGAAGGGCCTAACAATTTAAAATAAAAATTGTATAAATTTGAAGAATGGTGTAATTTGAGTGCAATGTACTGTAAAACTATTAACTCAATAAATATCTAACACAGATTATTATGCTTCTCCAACCCAAATTACTGTGTTGCCTTTCTCCACTTCGGTGATTTCACAATTTAACTTATTGAGCCGTCCATCCAGGATAAACAGAGACTCCTTGGAAGGGGTCATGAGATACTGACCAAAAAGGCCACTGTCTTTTATAAGACGGTTCTTACTGTTCCAAGGCCATTCACCTGCCTTGATGGGCTCCTTCAGACTCTTCACCATCTTTACCTTGCCAGAGGAGAGCTCCATGAAGAGAACATCAGTTTGCGTGCTGGAGCTGCAGTAGACATTGTATTGATGAGCTTCAGTGAAGGACGGCTGAAAAGCCACATCAGATATGTGCAAATTAGTGTGAATGTCAAACGCATCCTGTATTTCTCCTCTCACTGTTATGGACTGGATCCTCATGAGGCCTTTGGCATCATCGATGCTGAGAAGGTAATGTCCATCTGGAGAGATATGTGGCGTGCCCGTCACGTCACCATTGTATCCAATCACGGAATCGGTAACGCTATCCACTATGAGCTGCGGTAGGACAGCCCCAGTGGTGTCAGGCTTACAGCAGATGAAAAGATATCCTCCAAGATGTGTATAAGCCAGTGATTCAGGAACGCAGTTATAATCCTTTAAACTAATTGTCTTGATGTATGACATCGTTTCCAGATCAATTTTCTGGAGGGTGGGATCGTCCTTATGAAGAATATATCCAAACCTGAAAGGAAAAGCACAAAACCAAAGTCAGAGTACTGTGTGCATTATATATGAGTGAGGAAAGATACCATGAGCAAAGGAGATTATTAGTATGTGCAGCGATATATTGCTATATATCTCAGCTTCAGATGTTTCAGATATTAAGCAGTTTATAAATATTACAAATAATAGTTTATTTTAGTGTTCTAGTAATTTAGAATTTATAAAAAAAAAAGCCTAAAACCCATTTATCTGATTAATGGGAAAGTTCTTTTTTCCTACTGACATGAGGGAAAAGGTAAACCATTACTTTCTGAATATCTATTCACTTCTAAGTTTTACAAAAGCCAGAAAGGAGAAAAAGATTAAATATCAATAGATACTACATCCCACTTATTTGAATTCAGTTCATACAGCTCTTCGACTTACTTGGGAACATCAGCTAAACCCAGCGCTCATTGTTATTCAGATCATTATCTGAATTTTCCTTATTTATTTCAATAGAAATGAATATCATAAAAGGATTTAGGTTTATGCCTCCTAATTATCCAAACACCACATTTCTTACAATTTAAATGGCCCTTTATGGTCTTCCATACATCAAGGAACTTTTACTGAACATGAATAATATGGTTAAATTTTAAAATCCTAGAGCTGATTGATTGAAACCTTTTAATATAAACGGTATCACTATTCTGTAATGGTAGTGTATATGTTCTGACTGCACAATGAACTGACTATATATATATATATATATATATATATATGTATGCAAAAAAGATGCTTCTAAATATTATGGAGTCATGTGAAAGTATGTTAGCTTTACTTATCCAAGTAACTTTCACAGCACTTTTCCCAAACAACTGTTTTCTTTTGGCACATTTCTTGGCATTTTCCTCTGAATCTTTGATCCTAAGAATGAGGCTGTGTGATGATACATATATAATCTAAAAATACCTTTCACATCCTTTTGATATAAAGCCAGCCAGAATGTTCCAACAATTGGGTTGACAATAACACAAAATTTTCACACTATACTTGTAACCCTTGTATACTTACTAATCAGTGAACTACCAAAGTAACAGGCAAAAAATGTTTCAGGAAATTGTTCAGTCAATTCCTCAGTATAAGATAAGGTGAATTACACTTGCACTTTCTACTGAATTGATGTAAGAACACTTTTTATTTTAGCCCCACCTTAAAAAATCCTTACATACTGCTGCAGTATTATAAAAGCAAAGAACCAAAGGAATTTTTCAAATTTTAGGGACCTTAGGATTTAATTTGGTCCAAATTCTGACCAAAGAAGGGCCAGTGTGAATCAGACTGTCCACGATTACAATTTCAGAAGTTTATGAGATCATTTTTTGGCTTTGATTATTCAGCCACTTATAAATACATGAATTCAATCATCTTGGTTAGAAAAATGTGAGTCACCTTTTTTGGAAGTTATGTCTAGATAACTTACATAAGATAATGTTACTTTTCTATTCATGAGGTCTGCTGTTCTATCATAGAAAAAGATTAGGATCATCAGGCAGAATTTGATTTTTAGGTTTTTTTGGCTGCAATGATGTTTGTTTCTTAATCTTTGTGGGTAACCATTAAGCCATTGATTCCTGGTTCCATTATTAACTAGTAAGCATTTGTCAGCTATCAGAAACAGACCTATGCTGTATTATGTACAGAATCATCCTGTAACAGAAAAGGTTGAATAGGTAACAACACTGATACTTCACGTCTCCATGTTTAATAATCTGGCTTGGTTATTAATCACATGAGCAGTGATTACAAAAGGACAACTGAATTGGCTTATTGATTGTGTTTTTACATAACAATGTAAAGCAACAATCAGTGCACTATCCAGGAGTGTTCACTAGAAGATAAAGGGAAAATACCTACTTTTAAAGTCAATGTGATGACAAGTACTAAGCAACTTAATTTTAAGCTATTATAATATTATTTAATCTATTTAAATAAAAATAGGCAGAAAGTTTTTGTTTTAACTACTTTTGATCTCAATTTCATTTGCAAACACACAGTAATTTTTTTCTGTTTGAGACTGGCAAGCTGACCTTGGGTTTGGAAACATTATTTTTCTCTTTCAGCATACCAATATATAATCATGAGAAAAATCATGAAATCGTTTTTAAAAGTGAAAGAAAGGGCTCTCATTGAGTTGTTTTTAGTTTACATAGGTACTAAATCAAAGACTTATATCCATGTGAAATTTTCCAATATACATAGACATACACTAAATCCTTACTGTGATTTTGAAAATACAGCAGTCATCATCTGTATTATTAAATATATATATATATTGGCATGTTGTTTTCAGAAACTGTATTAAACATAGTAATAAATTCTTTTCTGTAAAAAAACAAACATTCATTTAATATTTTAATATATTTGATTCATTTTATTCTATGTATGTGTCCATAATATTTCATGGTACCTTTAATTCAGGAAAGAGACTTAAATTTTGACTGTGTTTTAAGTTGTACTTTAGTTTCTATCCTGCATGAGAGAAAACACAAGTAATCTTTTAAAACAAAGGTAATCTTTTTTAAAAAACCCAAATGAATTCCTAACCATTTTCCACCACAAAACAAATTTAAAAATCTAAACACATATATTTTAAACTGGTCAAAACCTAAATTTAAAAATCTAAGCAGTTAGATTTTAAACTGGTCAAAACCTAAACCAATATTTTTTTTCATTTATCATGTATAAATCTTTGTAAGTATATCAAGTAAGAGGAAGAAACCTTTGTGCTGTTTGACAATTTATTTTTTTCTAAAGATTATTCCAGGTCATGAAAACAACCTTTTTCTAAAGTAAAATACAAATGCAAAACAAGATTGGCATCAATTATCTAAATCAGCAAATATTACTTGCTGATTTAAATTGTTATTAAAATGAAGGATTTAAATCAATTTGATTCAAAGAAACCTGCCTTGATTATTTGATTAAGCAGTGTTAATGATCTATTTATGCGACATTTTTGCATTCAAATGTTATTGGTTTCAAGAGGAATATATAAGTTACTAATTTTTTTCTCTCAAATATTATTCCCAGAATATATGTTTTTGAACCACAGGTACACCTAACCTATGTTTACTTTGGCTGCATAAACTCTCTGATTACCAAATCTGAATGTGTTGGCTAAGGTTAAAGGAAAAGTCTTGTCTACCTTCCCTAGGGGTAAGCTCAGCTGAGCATGTGGAAAGACTCACTCACATTTGACATCCACCTTTCCCCACAGAGGACACTGCCACTGGTTTGTGCTCCAGCTTCTCACAACCTGGTGCTACCTTCTCTCAGACAAATCCCCTAAACTCTGCCAGTGAAAAGGTTTCCATAAGCATTCCCCAACGCATGCCATTAAGATAAATTCAGCTACTGTGGAATAATTAAAATCCTTTAAACGTTTTTTGTTGACAAAGCTGGTCAGTGTGAATGAAATATCTTAGGAGTCATGGAAGAACATTGACGTAGACCTTTGCACTAGCACAGACAGATTTAATAAAAGTTATGTTTGTCCACAGCAAGGGACTCCAGACCTCCAGACTTAGCCAGAAAACACATTTTAAAACAAATCAGCTGATAAAATAAGGATACTAGTTTCTTTTATAGCATTATCTGTCTCTTTGTAATATTTAGTTCACAGTTCAAAAAGCCACAAGTAAAAAAAAAAGCTTACAGTATCTCGGGCAGACTGTTCCTGCAATGTAAGCAGTGGCTTCAGCTTTGGTAATTGAGTTTAACTGAAAACTACAGAAAACTGGCTTGAACATTTTACCCACTTTATCTGGTGCTGCATTTTTATTGCATTTGGGAAATCTACTGTCCCTTGCTCCAGAGCTATTAAGGAACTTGATTTTATATGCTACAACACTAACTGTATGTATTCTGATAACCACTTACACCTGAATGGCTGTTTACAATGTATCTTAAAGTGTGCAAAGAACAGTTTAATGCATTTTTTCAGTGATTATTTATTTTCAACCTACAATTATTTACTATTATTTTCCACGCTATTCATTGCATTCTATTAACTTCTGAATTGGAAACAAAGATTTGTGAGATTGCTCTCTTTCCTTCCTCCCTCAAAGTACTGACTTCTCTAGCCCTGATAAAATATAATTCTATTTTCTTGTAACATTAACACGGGAAAGACTTTTTGCTTTATCATGTTTTCTAGTTCAAAATTTAAAAAGTCACTGCTTTGGACACAGATGTAGAGTTGGCCCAGTGTAATATTTCTGCAGCTGAATACACTGAGAGATAAGTTATGTGAGCAGAATAATACACAGAACATAAGTAGCAGTTTTTAGTTACTGATTTCAAGGCACTGAAATAAGATATCACTGAAATACAGATATTGCAGAGTGTAAAGAAAGCTGAATGACTGGCCTAAGGCTATATGATAATCCATTGGCATAGTCTAGCTGAAAATATAGATTATCTAAGGCCCAGCATGGTTTCTAACCTATCATACTACAGGCTACCATTGCAACTGAGGTACTAAAGAGACAAATGTGAGAAAGTACATACAACAAAAATACATAGCTTTGAATAAGAGTACACAAAATCACTCCATCAAAATAACATTTTTGACTCCTAAAAATAGACAGAACTTTGGACCTGGCTGGGAGAGAAGTTGGTACATTTTCGTGAAGGATCTACCCTTCCCAAAACCGGGAGTATGGCTGCCAAAAGTAATTTATTAGAACTAATAGGATTTCATCAATACTACTGTTTAAACAATTCTTTCTTGGCTGTCATACTGCCTGCAACATTTCAGTGCTCCAATTAAAATTCAGGAAACCTGGACAGGGATGTAAATACCCTAAGAGATCAACAATACAGATAAAAAGAAGGAAGGGAAAAATCATTTAAAGCTGCCAGTCTTCTTGGGTGTAAAAGGATTTGGCAAGCTGTGTGTTTGATATGTTTGTCTGCCTGTCTCAGTGAGAGCTGTGTGGCTGGAGTTTTGAGAAGCTGAACAAATCAAGAGAG